TACTCAAACTTTTTAAACAGGGGGCCAGTTCACTGTCCCTCAGACATTCCACACATGCGCACTGCGGGCCCGGGACGAGTCGGCTGCTAAGCAGTACAGGCAGCGACTGCAAAAACACCCGGCGGGAGCGGCAAAAACACCCGGTGGGCCGCATGCGGCCCACGGGCCGTAGTTTGAGGACCCATGAACTAGGAGGTCAGGGTTCAATTCCCAATCAGGGCACATGCCTGGGCTGTGGGCTAGATCCCCAGTAGGAGGCAGTAGATCAATGATTCTCTCTCACCATGGATGTTTCTCTCTCTCTCTCTCCCTCTCCCTTCCTCTCTGAAATCAATAATATACATATATTAACTTTTTTATTATTTTTTTTAAAGACCACAGAGGCACAAAGGGGGGCCCAGAGGGGTCAGCGAGGATGGAGGGCCGAGCTTCCCCGGGGGGAGCTAGTTGACGAGCCTGCCCCAGGGGCTGAGGACTGTCCCCCCGACCCGGAGGCCCTCCCTGATGCCGGTGGGCCCAGCGACCGAGCCAAGACAAACACGGTGCATGAGCTCACGGGGCTGGGAGCGCAGCGCGGATGTGCTATCTGCAGTGCGGACTTTGGACGGGGGCCTTACCCGGAAAGAAAGAAGCATGAAATCTGGAAACAAAAGAAATATGCGCTTGAACCAGGACGCTTTTATCAGAGAGCTGCTGGGATCCAAGCCTGCCTACGCGGCACAGCCAAGATGCAAATGGGCCCATGGGGGAAAGGAGCGAAGTGGAAGGATTTCCAGAAATGGACAGGAAGGTTAGAGTCTGATGTGCGTTAAAAGAAAAAAAAAAGAAAGAAAAGGTAAAACTCCCTCCGGGCAGCCATGAACTCCGACAGCACGGGGGCCTGGCTCTCAGCTCACAGCTGCATTCGCTGCTCAAGGCTGCCTCTCTCCAGGTCCAAGTTCATTCCCGCGGCTCCACTCCCTTTTGCTCTCTCTTTGCTGCGCAGGGAGAGTTTGGAAAGTGGGGAGGACGTGCTCGAGGAGAAAGGGTTGGGAAAACAGGGGACAGCCAGGTAAAGAGGCGGCAAAGTGCCCCAGCCAACGAGGCTCGGTGGTTGAGCGTGGACCTAGGAACCAGGAGGTCACGGTTCGATTCCTGGTTAAGGGCACAGGCCCGGGTTGCTGGCTCGATCCCCAGTGTGGGGCATGCAGGAGGCAGCTGATCCATGATGCTCTCTCATTGCTGATGTTTCTCTCTCTCCCTTCCTCTCTGACATCAATAAAAACATATTTTTTAAAAAAAATAGAGTCTCTTGAATCTAAAAAAAAGAGGTTTGAGGCGACGCCTCCCAGATGTGCGGGAGCTGATGGTGAGCTTCTATCTGGTCCAGACCCGCCCGTCTGCCCAGAGACACCCTCACAAGAAACCCTCTTGCTTCCCAGGCCCACCTTGCGTTCTGCCTGCGTCTGGAGTGAGGCCAACGCATGAAAGAGGAAGAAAAAGTTGCGGGCAGACGGCTCTTCCCAGCGGGGCTTTCCTCCGATGGCGTTTGAACGAGGCCTTGGGCCTGAAAGACAATGCCCGGCTCGTTCTTTTAAAAAATAAAAATAAAAAAAAATAATAATAATAAAAAAAATATGCTAGGGCCCCGGCTTGTCCTTTATGCCCTGAGAGGACTTTTCCCACGAAGGCCCAGGGAGAGGGGGAGGGCTCCTAAGAGCCGATGAAATGTCTGGCGTCCGTCCCGGATTTATCCACGGACGGCTGTTTCCTTTCGTCCTCGTCCAATATTTAGGAAATCGCCAACGTGTGGGGATCAGAGAAGTAGATGGTAAGTGACGTTGCTGTCGTCTTGATTTCATAATCACCGCTCAAGAGGCTTGTCTTGTTAACCCTTAGGACAGTGGATTTCTGGGATTCAGGCTGCTTTCTCAAACCTCTAGCGACGGGTTTCAGTTGACATTATTTCATTCACTTCACAAGGATTTTTTAAAATATATTTTTATTGATTTCAGGGAGGAAGGGAGAGGGAGAGAGAGAGAGAGAGAGAGAATCAGGGATCAGCTGCCTCCTGCACGCCCCCTACTGGGGACCAAGCCAGCAACCCCGGCATGTGCCCTTGACGAGACTCGAACTCGGGACCCTTCAGCACAACACTCTAGCCACTGAGCCAGACCAGCGAGGGCCATTTCACAAGTATTTATTGAGCATCTACATGGGCTGGGCACCACGCCAGGGGGTGGAAATTTAGCAATAAATAAATATGCGGCCGCTGCCCTTGCGGAGAGAAGAGATGAGGAAACAGAGTGCTAAGTTCAGCCAAAGTTATACTGCAAGTTGGAGCCCACAGAGGAAGTCCTATGTCTTAACAGGACCTGTTACACAATTTGCAAATGTGGTAAGTTAAGTTATGGGGCCCCCTTGTCCAAGATTCACTAGGAATTTCAGGACATGGACAGCAGAGCATGACATCAAACGCAAGGCCCTTCTTCTCAGGCCCACGCATCTGGATCATATATTAAAAATCCATTTCTGTCCTGGCCGGTGTCGCTCAGTGGGTAGAGCGTCGGCCTGCGGACTGAAGGGTCCCAGGTTCGATTCCCGGTCAAGGGCACATGCCCGGGTTGTGGGCTCGATCCCCAATGTGGGGCGTGCAGGAGGCAGCCGGTCCATGATTCTCTCTCATCATGGATGTTTCTCTCTCTCCCTTTCTCTCTAAAATCAATAAAAATGTATATTTTTAAAAAAATAACAGGGTTCTTCAAAAACACTAAACAAAGAAACCTGACCAGTAGGGCAGCTATGGACGGAGAAAGGGCAGCAAAGGGTGTATACCGGACACAGGGCTGTACGAGGGGACGGAGGGAGGCGTGAAGGAAGAGGCCACACGTCCCAGCTCAGCCAGACGCCATCTGAGCCTCGAGAGGAATTGCCCGTTGAGGGTAAGCACCTGGGGACTCCCAGCAGGCCCTGCCCTGCCGGCAGGTGCACATGGTTCCAACGCCCCCGAGAGAGGGATCGGGCGCCTTCCGCCCCCGGCAGGTATTGCAAAGGTCAAGGTGCTGGGAGCCAGGAGCCAGGTAGGTGCTGGGACAGGCGGGGAGCCCAGGAGCTGGCTCTTGGGGGAACAAGGCATAGACCCAATTAAAAGCCCTCCGCTGTACGCCTGGGCCTTTTCCCTCCAAAGGGGGGGCTGGAAGGATCTGGACTGCCTGAGCCCCACAAGTGTTAACAGCCACAGTCCCCTGTCATTCAAGACCTCAGGACGTCTGGGCGGCTGGAGAAGCCAGCTCCACACCAGGCCACAGGTCCACGGGGCACTGCCTAGACCAGCGGTTCTCAAACTGTGGGTCGCGACCCCTTTGGCGGTCGAACGACCCTTTCACAGGGGTCGCCTCAGACCATCCTGCATATCAGATATTTCCATGACGATTCATCACAGGAGCAACATGACAGCGATGAAGTCGCCACGAAAATAATTTTATGGTTGGGGGTCACCACATGAGGAACTGTATCTACAGGGCCAGAAGGTTGAGAACCACTGGCCTAGACTGTGCGGCTGTTTGTTGTTGTAAATATGTCTTCTTGATTTTTAGAGAGAGTGGAAGGGACGGGGAGAGACAGAGAGAGAGAGAGAGACATCGATGGGTTGCCTCCCACGCATGCACACCCCGACCAGGGCCCAGGATCGAACAGGCAGCTCTTGGGTGCGCCGGCCGACGCTCTAACCACTGAGCACACCAGCCAGGGCCCGAGACCAGCTTGGACCTGCGATTTGATACTAATCTTTATTGAGCACCTGCAGTGTGCAAGGCACAAGGCGGTCTCTGGGGCTGTGGGCCGGAGACCCGCAGATGGCCAGCTGCCTCTGACAGCGCTCCCCCCTCCCCCTTCCCCCGGGGGAGCTGAGCAGAGGAGAAGCCCCATCGATCTGTTTAACATGCAAATGTGGCCACTATTCTTCTCCGGGAAGCTTCATTACTCATAGCTCCCTTCTCTGGGGGGTGGGGGATGGAGCCTCCCTAGGGAAAGTCCACGTGTTCGCTCTGAGCCCCGGCTGCTGGTTCCGTCCCCTCCCCCTAGCTCCCACCCCCACCGTCACAGACTCGGCTGTAAGAGCCAGGGGTCCCCCCATCCTCGGGATTTCACCGGGTTCACCTCCAGGCTCATTTCACTTTATGGCCGCTATTTGCACATCGGGGCTTTCCCTGCTGGCTGCTGTGGCCGAGGCCTCGGTGTCTCCGTCTCCGATTGGGTGACCCAGGGACAGTAGGCAACATACAAAGGGCTGTTTATTCTCCGCTCACGCTCACTGCTCACCGGCTCACTCCCAGCCCTGAGAGTTCATTCATTGTCGTTTTCACAAATCTTCAGGCAGCTCAGGGGGGCAGGTCGATGTAGGTACAGCCCTCCGGCTTCGCACCTGGGAGCGAGAGCTCCCTGCACTGTCCCCAGGTGAGGCCCGGGTCTCCTCGGGGAGCAGTCTCTCCGCCGGCCGCACCCCCACATCTGGGGCCCGTGGGACATGACATTGGATGAGCATCCGCCGTCGGTGCACTGGGCGATGCTTTCACCCACCGAGTCACCCCGGCCAGGGCCAGCTTTCACTTTAGCGCCTTCCCTTCATCTCTTAGAGCGGCGGTTCTCAACCTGTGGGCCGCGACCCCTTTGGCGGTTGAACAACCCTTTCACAGGGGTCGCCTCAGACCATCCTGCCTATCAGATATTTACATGACGATTCATCACAGTAGCAAAATGACAGTGATGAAGGAGCCGCGAAAATAATTGTATGGTGGGGTCACAACATGAGGAACTGTATTAAAGGGCCGGAAGGTTGAGAACCACTGACTTAGAGCTTTCTGAGGGTATGAGTTTCCTGTGGCTGCTGTAACAAACTGCAAACCGGGTGCTAAAAGCAAGAGACGGTTGTTCTCAGGTGTGGGGAGCGGGCGTCCGAACTCAAGCTGTCGGCAGGCCACCCTCCCTCTGAGGGGTTTTGACATCGATGTTGGGGTTCACTGGCCAACCCACATCAATGGTTTGGGGCAGTGATTTCACGTGAGCCTCAGTTTCCCCCCCTGTAAAACCAGCCGCGAGGACGGAACGGGTTACTCCACGTGAAGTGCTTGGCGCCTGCTTCATCTGTGGGAAGCCTTCCGTCACAGTCGACTACCTTCGTAATGATTACCGTTCACCAATATCAGCTTTCTTTCTTCTCAACCGTGCCCTGAGGGAGAGATCTTAAGGAAATAAAATCACAGGGCACCGGTCATTAATAGATCCAGAGGTGGGATCGGGCCCAAACTCAGGTTTCTAAATGTTCCCTCTCGCCTGACAACTAAAAAAAAAGCCACATGTGTGTGGCTCAGCGGTGTTGAGCGCCAACCAATGAGCCAGGAGGTCACGGTTCGATTCCCGGTCAGGGCACATGCCTGGGTTGCGGGCTTGATCCCCAGTGTGGGGCGTGCAGGAGGCAGCTGATCAGTGATTCTCTCTCATCATGGATGTTTGTATCTCTCTCTCCCTCTCCCTTCCTCTCAGAAATCAATAAAAATATATTGGGCCCGGTTTTGATTCCGGTCATGGGCACATGCCCAGGTTGCTAGCTTGATCGCCAGTAGGGAGTGTGCCAATCCATGATTCTCTCTCAGCATTGATGTTTCTCTCTCTCTCTCTCCCTTCCTCTCTGAAATCAATAAAAACATATTTTAGAAAAAGAAAAAGTCACATGCTAAAGATTTCTAAAGGGTTTTCCTCCCCACCCTGCAAACCCAGCTTGGAGCGGGAGAGGCAGGCCGAGGCGGTGGGGAGATGGGGCTGGTCCTTGCTTGGCTGTCTGTTCTCCTCTGTTTCCTGCAAACTTTGCAAAACCCACACCAGGGAGCAGCAGCCAGTGAGGGCCTTGCACAGCTCATGAGTTCTGATCAGAGAAAGCGCAGCCTCCCACTGAGAAGGAGACAGGCTTGGGAAATGAGTCTCGGAGACAGGGGCGGGGGAGCGTGCAAATAGGGGGAGGGGGGAGCGTGCAAATGGGGGGAGGGGGGAGCGTGCAAATGATCCTCCACCTTCTTGTGGGTCCTTCCAGAGGCCAACACCACAGGCCCTGGTCCCCCTCACAGGGACCATCAGCCTCCCACAGCCCCTCCCTGCTCCGCACACCGTGG